TATTTTTCAGGATATTTTTATGAATTATGTTATTTTTATTTATCTAGTGATTAATTTATTTTGTTTGTCAAAAAACTATTCCAATAAAAGACTTCTTAACTTCCTGCCAACAACTATATATATATATATATATATATATATATATATATATATATATATATATATATATATATATATATATATATATATATATATATATATATATATATATATATATATATATGGAAAACTTGAATAAAGTCCCTACATATTGGCCTCATAATCGATTTAGTCCCTATATATATTTTTTATTCAATTAAGTCCCAAAAACCGGTAATCGTATTCAATTTAACCCCTTGACCCGGTCAACAGGTCATCCAACTTTCAAAAATTACATTTTTGGCCAAGATTTCAAAATTTATTACAAATTTGGTCCAAAATTTACACTTTCGCCCAAATTTTTTTTTTTTTTTTACAAAATTGGTCTAAAATATACCCTTTTGGCCCATATTTTAGAATTTTGTTAGGAATTCATCCTAGTTTTAGTTATTTTTACAACTTTTTTTCTTTAAAAAAATGTACTCGTCTTTATCTTCTATTATTTTTGAAGTGTACTATGAATTTAGGTACAAAATATAATAATTTACATTAAAATGACAGTTACATAGTGCTAACAATAGATCTATCATGTTGTGGCATTGTTATCACACAAATAAACATTATTTTCACACAATAAAGAGACTTAAATTAGTGAAAACCAACTTTTAGTATCATTTTTTTTGAAGTATACTATTAAGTTTAAGAGCCAAAAAGGACTGATAAGCACATTGGTGCTAACAATAAGCCATTTATGTCAATGTAGCAGTATAAAAATGTCATCGTAGCACTATAACACACAAAAAACATTGTTTTTACAGACAAAAAGAAGCATAGTTAATATCTTATGTTATTGAAAATGCTTTAGAAACCGTCAAAATGTACCATGTCAACAATACATAAAACTGTGACATTTGTAAACCTAGCAACACTATTGATAAACTTTGAAATGTTTATAAATATGACTCACTTTATTTATTGAGATATTAACTAAGACAACGTACTTTAAAAAGTCTACCTAATGATGTTATGCTTTAATATCTTCGTTGTACTTTAAAAAAAAAATTATTTGTATTTGGTTTATAGTTAGGTAGGTTGTTCAAAATACAATGCTATAATAAAAATCAATGAAATTAAGCACACTATTATTTCTTGCATTTAACTTTTTCTTTATTTATCATATGTTTTTATGCTGAACATAGAACAAAAAATATATATTGTTTAACATATTAAACAAGTTAAAAAAGAAAATATTAATAAAACTCATTGGTATAAGTTTGAAAGTATTGAACATCTATTTTTAATGTTAAATATAACTAAAAAGATTACAGTTTTTTTTTATTATTATTAATTACTATGCTTCCAAACGTAGAACATTCGAATTCATAAAGAAAAAACATTCAAATTTTTTTTTGAAGAAAAAAAGTTGTAAAAATAACTAAAATTAGGATAAATTCATAACAAAATTCTAAAATTTGGGTCAAAAGGGTATATTGTGGACCAAATTTGTGAAAAAAAAATTTAAATTTAGACCAAAAGTGTAAATTTTGGATCAAATTTGTAATAAATTTTGAAATATGGGCCAAAAATGTAATTTTCAAAAGTTGGATGACCTGTTGACCAGGACAAGGGGTTAAATTGAATACGTTTACCGGTTTTTGGGACTTAATTGAATAAAAAATATATATAGGGACTAAATCGATTATGAGGCCAATATGTAGGGACTTTATTGTAATCTTCCATATATATATATATATATATATATATATATATATATATATATATATATATATATATAATATATATATATATATATATATATATATATATATATATATATATATATATATTAAGAAGTCTTTTATTGGAATATTTTTTGGTGAATAAAACAAATGAATTTATTTCTTGAAGTTAATTAAATAAGTTAATTAGCTATAATAAAATTATAAACTAGACAATAACTTAACATTCCAAATGTGCCTATAAATATATGTATGTCTAATTTGTTGTATATTATATCATCTTCATCTCTCTTTCTCTTTTAAAGAAGTTAATTTACTACAAGAGTAAACGAAATTATGGTCAAACTTGTAGCTAAATATATGATCATCTTGTGTGTAAGCTTTCTCATATTGTCTGTTTTTCATGAATGTAAGGTTTTATATCTTTATTTTACACATGATTTCATTATTTTTGATGGATATTTTAAGAAATATTTTTGTTTTGAATTTATAGGTGGCAAAATTGAAATGAATAACATTAAAACTGTCGGTATCTCAATTGAACCTTGCGATTACCATAGTTCAGCATCGAAAGATGGTAAACAATTTTGTTGTTGCGATGACGCAAAAATGTGCTTCCCAATTATTGATACGTGTCGAAGAATGTGTGAGAAGAAAAGGTGTTGTAGTAAAAAAATATGATTGGTATTATTTTAGAAGTCAATATAATGAATAATGTTTTAAAGTCTACATAAAAGTTTAAGTAATGTGTTTTTATCAAAGAACCCCACAGTCATACTGCAAAAAAATGGATATAGTTTTAATCTATATTTTATTTTATATTAAACTATAATTATAAATCTATATAAAAAAATTTGTTTCATAAAATTACAAGTTTGATTTTTTATATTGTATATTAAAATTCTTTAATTTGGAAAATTTCATATTGTATATTGAATATACTAGTTGTTTACCCGCGCAAAGCAGCGTACGGTGAAAAATAATTTCAGCAATTAATTTTTTTCGGTGAACACTGATTAGTTTTAATTCAGCGATTAGTTTGTTTTATGGAACATATCGAATTAAAAATAAGACAAAATGTATCGGTGTACCTACGTGATGCGTCGACTTAAAATAGTCCATTTAATAGTTTTCAAGCGGTGATTAGTTTTTTTCAACATGTTAATTTGATTTTTTTTAAAAATTATGATGTTTTGGGTTTAAAATACAAATGTTTTATAGTTTTTGATTAAAAATAATAAAATATTTATGTCTTGGGTTTAAAAGAATAGTATGTTTTTTTTGGTTAAAATGTAAGTAATTAAGTATTTTGTTTGTTTAGGTTAAAAAAAAGTTTTTTTTTTTTTTTTTTAAAACAAAGTTCTAAAAAACACATAATGCATTGGTTGATCGAAGCTGAATTTAGAACGGTATTTTGTGTATATTGGATATGCATTTTAATTTGTTGATAATTTTTTGTGTTTTCTTTATGCGTTTTGTTCCGATGGATTTATTGTACCTAAGTTATATTTTTTATAGCTATATTTTTTGCACCCATGAAAATTGCCGACGGTGAATAGTATTCTTTCGAATATGTCATATTTTAAAAAAGACGTTGTGGACATAATTTTTTATTGCTCGGTTTACATTAGGTGGATGTGTATTTTTATTATATTGTTCGAATATGAAGCACATGAAAAAACAAAATTCTTTTTTAATATCTCAATTATTTTTTCATTTGTTTTATACATTGGTTTGTTTTTGTTTTTGTTTTTTTAATTGATTTAGAAAATGATCCAAGATCACTTATCCAATGTTTCTTTCGATTTGGAACGATTTTGCCCACCCTATTTGTTGCCTAAACTGGTTATTTATGTTTATTCAGTTTTTCATGTTTAATTAATTTTATATTTAAAATATCTTTATAAATGGCAAAAAAGATGCTATTTTATTAATATAAATGGTTTTAACTAACGTAAAACACAAAAGTTAATACACCTTAAAATAATAATAAATTTGCAAAAAAAAAAAATTGAAACTAATGTTTTGTCTATAACTATATAAAGTCTTGTCTGTAATAATATAATTTGACGGCCACCACACCAATAACCCTCATGTGAATGTACAAAAAGTAATTAGGCAATTTGGAATTCATTATCAACGGTAAAATTATATATGTTCAATCCATTTTTACAATTTCTATAAACTTGAGTATAATTTTGGTATTCTAACTTTTAGATGGAAAATTATGCATGTTATAAATAAAAAATGACAAATAAACCATTATGTAATAACCAAACTATTACTAAATAACAATTTGTGGCTCTGATGACCCCCTACATCGCTTTGACACTAAATACACCATTCCCTCTTATTTACCATGAAAGCATAATGCAAAACACTAATCTCTCAATCAAGCAAAAAATATAACACTTTATTGTAATACTTTTATTTGCAAATTGCATAAAATAACAACCTACTTTACTCTTTTTACCCATCATTATTTTGTTTCACCCCCTCACCATCTAACACTCCAAAGAACATAACAAAAATTAAAGGAATTAATCTCAAAGAGAAGTTAATAAAGATAATCACAGCTTAGCATGCGAAGCATTATTTTTATATTTATATCTACAATTCCAAAGAAGTACAAGTCAGTTTTGTACAAAATTAATACAAGATTTTACCCCAATAAGAGTAAATTTGCTTGAAACAAACTTCAAAGTCTAAAAACAAAGGTCATTAAATTTTGCTAATTAACTGGACAAATGAAATCCAGCTGGGGAATTCTTATGTAGGATCAGATAATGATATTACTATTGCCATTTTCATACAATGAATGAAATGGTGCTTTTTATGTATAAAAATATGTGTGTGTGGGGGGGTTGTTCCTCTTTTTCTCTCGCCACATACCTTATGTTCAAAATTCAATATCCAAACACATTTAGTAAACTTGAAACATATTTTCAACTTATTTTAATGAGTTACAGTAAAATTATAAAAACATTTGAATTATATCAAAAGGGAAAACCAAAGCTTCATCTTTGTATCTTATAAGTTAGTGGAGGAAAACAAACATGACCAGAAATATAGTTGAAAAAGAACACTAAAATGAAGCATCATATCGATGTCTGAACAAAACATGGCTTACTTGTTGGAAGATTTTCTTTTATCACTGAATAGGTTCCTTTTCCCTTAATTTCTTCAATTATTGTTGTGGGGACCAGGGTGTCTGGAGAGCACCTGAAAAACTCGGCTTTTAGCTGGCTCTGTTACCTGATTCCATCAGTCCAAAACCATAACCAAATAACTTGCAAACAACGAATAACAAAATAAGAAATAGGCTTATTGGTACTGAAAAAAAATGATAAGATAAGAATTAGATTCGCCTCAAATAGTAACAAAACATAAAACCTATTTTCTATAACCATTAACCACTTTATGTATCTTAAACTTATCTCAGTACCTCAAAACAGACTCTTGCGCTAGGGGCTAAACACCTGCAACCAAGATTAAAAAATGCCCTAAACATTAAAAATATCTCTAAAAAAAGAAGCATATTACCAGGTATGGGCTGATCACCTGCAACTAAGACGGCCCTATCAATTTAAAAAGTCAGAATTGTTGAGAATCGTTGTGTTTGCTTAACAAACCAAGAGAAATCTTGAAAAAAAAAAAAAGCATATATATTGCGATTTACCTTAGAGAGATTAGCATAGAAGAAAAGGGGCTTTTTAGGGTCTATTGAATGATTCAGGTCAACGATGTCTGAGTCCGAGCAGGGTGGTCGTCGACGCTTAGCCACCAGATGGTGGCGGAGATGGGGGTAGCGATGATTGCATTTTTTGTGACAATGAGTGGTGGCGGGGCTGGATAGTAAGTTAGAGTAGAGAAGAGAGGCAGAGACGAATCGTGATGGGGGTTGGTCGCAGGAAAATTGTTGCGAGGGTAGAGAGATGGTGGAGACGGTGGGTGCTGATGACGATGAGTTGGGCGGAAGAGATGCGATGTGTACTCTTCAAATTTAGGGTTTTGCTATTTGATTAGAGAAAATGCAAGTCTGTACTCTGTAGGGACAAAGGACAGACGGAAATGTAATAGATGTATTTCCCCGTAAGCATAATTTGATTGTATATTATGCAGTAGGTATAGTACATTTTAAATTTCAAGAAATATTTAAAATATACGGTGCAACATTCTCCTTTTGGAAAATCAGATTATACCGAAAAGGAAGAGATTATGTGTTATTGGTGACATTGGAGGAACAATAGAATTTTGACAAGGATAGTATAAAAAGATTCGGAAAAATAACTTATTTAGGTAATTAATTTTTCGATATGTTCACATCAGTGTAACTATTTTTTTTTGTACACCTCTGGATAACAAACTTGTTGGAAGTGTTCACATATGACCATTATGACCTTGGAGGAACAATAGAATTTTGACAAGGATAGTATAAAAAGATTCGGAAAAATGACTTATTTAGGTAATTAATTTTTCGATATGTTCACATTAGTGTAACTATCTTTTTTTTTGTACACCTCTGGGTAACAAACTTGTTGGAAGTGTTCACATATGACCATTATGACCTGTTATAGCAGGTTAAATCCTAGATGTGAACACTTTTAACAAGTTCATTACCTAGATGTATACAAAAAATAGTTACCCAAATATGAACAAAACAAAAAATAAAAGTAAATTATACGAATGGTCCCTATGATTTGGGAAAATTTGCGTTTTTAGTCCCTAACTTATTTTTAATAACTTCGATGGTTCATACTGTTTATTTTTGTTTCGCATTTGGTCCCTGTCTTACCTAAAAAGACTTTCTGCCCTTATTAATTTATTTTTAATTAATTTTCTTATTTATGTATTTATTTTTTACATATTTAAAAAAATTAATAGACCCCATATATTTGTATCTCCTCGGATGATCATACTATTTATTTTTTAATTAATTTATTTTTTAACTCGGATGATCCCTACTGTTTAATTTTGTTACGAGTTTGATCTTTGTCTTACTTAAAAAGACTATTGTGCCATTATTAATTAATTTTTTTTAATTATTTTTCTTCTTTATGTATTTATTCTTTATATATTTAAGAAAAATTAGTAGACCCCATATATCTATAGGAACCATTCGAATTAAATTTTTCAAATGTGGTTTGAGATTTATGGTGAGGAGATACAGATATGTGCGGTTTATTAATTTTTTTAAATATATAAAAAATAAATACATAAATATTAAAATTAGTTAAAAATAAATTAATAAAGGCACAATAATCTTTGTAGGTAAGACGGAGACCAAACGCGTAACAAAAATAAACATTGGGACCATTCGAGTTAAAAAAATAAGTTAGGGACCAAAAACGCAAATTCTCCCAAACCATATGGACCATTTGTGTAATTTATTTTTATTTTTCGTTTTGTTCCGTAACTATTTTTTTTTACACATCTAGGTAACGAATTTGTTGAAAATGTTCACATCTAGGATTTAACCTGCTATAGCAAGTCATAATGGTCATATGTGAACACTTCTAACAAGTTTGTTACCTAGATGCGCACAAAAAAAGATAGTTAGCTAGATGTGAACATACCGAAAAATTAATTACCTTAATATGTCATTTTCCCAAAAGATTCCGGTAAAATATAAAGAGAAAAACTAAATTAACAACAAAAATTTCACTAGTTACGAAGAAGCTGAGTATAAAGAGATACACTAAAAGGAAAAATGATACCTTTTAAGTTATATATTAATAAAAATGGCAGTTATAAGTTGCAAGAGTAATTGGTAACATCAACTGTGTTTTTTTGTTGATTTTCACTATACCTTTTAGTTTCGTTGTTTTGTACCAAATTAAAAATGACCAAAATCAATCAAAAAACAAGAATTATTTTATTTCTACTTCTACATAACAACATATAATAGCTTACATAAAAAAAGGTTCACTTACATTTATATAATAAAAGGCTACCTAACACAAATTGAAAACTTTGATCATCAAATTTTTGTAATCTCAATAATCTAACAAGTTATTGAAAAGCTCAACAATCGAGTAAACACTTTTTGATTATCAAAATGTTGTAGTCTCTATAAGAAGCTAAAAAGTGAATGACACCAACAAACCATTATTTATTGTAAATTATGCAACATCTAATTTGATTTTTTTAGATTTCGAGAATATCTCAGGCTAACTTTGGGTACTATAACCAGCTAAAATTCAACTCCTATTATGGGCATGTTACAAATAAACAAAATGTGTACGCATTAAAAATAAACAGAGCATCACAAAAATAGTACATATACATATCACACACATAAACATATGTAAGAAATGTATAGAATCTAAAACAATGATATATGTGAAAATAAATAAGATCAAATTAGATGAAGACATAAGGAGTAAATAAGATCTTCAATTCATTAAAGCGAAAAATAATAGTTTGATATAATGACAAAGGAACTAATCTACAAAAGATACTCTCTATCTAATTAACTATCCTATATATACTACGTAAGAAGAGAGTCAGTCAGCCTCTGACCAATGATATCAGGCCACCTAAGTCAACAGATTGTCACTAAACAAACTGCGAATTTAAGTATTAAAGTGAAATACAAACATGCGTGATAAAAAACGATGTACGACCACCCCCCCCCCCCCCCCCGCGACTAATAAATGAACACTGATCACTTACACAAACAATTTAGAACCAAACCACAAACTCATTTCATACTCAAAGGCTCAAAAACATCTGCATAAGAAGCATTACATTGGTTCTCCTATGAAAATTTCATATACTAACTTCATAATTAGATACATAACTTTTGGTGTTCATGGTCTCTAATTCTTTCCTTTTATATTATTTTTATATTTTAAGTTTGTAGATAAGTGTACTTTATAATGTGATGTAAGTTATAATTATAAATGATTACATCACCAATTAACCAATTTAGAGTAATATCCGGTAATATTTTTGAAATAGCTAGGTAATTTAGTTATAATCATTAATTATTTCATAACGAATCTGAAATAATGCCCAATCATCAAGAAACATGTCTATAGTTTTTTGAACTTTACAACTTATTAAGCTATTTATGTGTATCTCATGAAATACTTGTATTTTTCTCTTTTGGTGTTTATATCTTAATTTTATCAAAGAAGTTAAGATGTTGAATTCAATTATTTATTGTTACATTTCCAAGTTTATAAATTAAGAAAGAAAAAACACATCATCGTCACCGTCAGAATGAGTGATTGGTCCACAATCATTCTTGCGTTCTAAATATATAACATCTTCACATACATACATACATACATACACACACATACACACACACACACACACACACACACACACATATATATATATATATATATATATATATATATATATATATATATACTAGAAGAATATCCGCACGTTGCGCAGAATAAAACTATACAGCTAAAATTTTGGTAATCATACATTATTGAAAATATTTATGTTATTTTTATTAACTATAAAATAATAATAATTACATTTAGTGGACGCAAAATTATAATTAATTTGAACAATAAATAATATAACACTTATTAAATTCAAATCATTTAATGGTCTATGCTCACTTTTACGTGTGTATAAAATTAGTTGTGGTGACTTAGTAACACATATGGAAGATATGATGAGTAAATTATTGACCCATATTTAAATTATCGCACTACTCCACGACATGACGCATAGTATTATATTTGCATAGAGGGGTTATTCGGGGAATGGAACCGTCACTAAGGAAGTTCTCTATCCAGAAAAAAATAGTTATAATACATACTATTTTAATTAACTATTGTTATAATTTATTAAATTTAATTTTTTTTTTATGATGTTAATTTTAATTTCATCAGGAATATTATTTAAATTATTGACATTTGTTTATGATGTAACATAATTTATTTTATAATTTCATGTTATTTTTAACTACTACTACTATTATTATTATTATTATTATTATTATTATTATTATTATTATTATTATAAGTTAATTTAAAAACAACTTAATTGAATTTTAGTTACTATATTTATCGTATTTAGTAATTTCCTTTCGAAAATTTTAGAAAACATATGTTGGGTTTTTGTTACTTTAGTTTCTAAACCTTGCATTATATTCTTAAGTTTATTTGATATATTAATTTAGGTTATGCATTTAACAATATATTGAAATCAACAAATTTAGTGTACCATATTGATAGTTCATCTATGATAATGTTTATAATTATCACCATATTTAAGTTAATAAA